CGGAGCCACTTGGGGAAGGGGGGAGGAGTCCGGTGACGTCGATGTCCGTGACGTCACCGGATCTCCGACGGGACTCCCAGAAGCCGGCGGATCTATATATATAATATCAAATGTGTTTGTAGTGTAATTGGTCAATTCTACAATTGATGAATTTGCAAAAAAAACATGAAAAGTGAATGTGACTAGTAGGCAGAGATATTACAGAGTGGCACCAGAAGTGATGTAATACACATAACTTCCGTAGCCAGTGGTCACAGGAGAGATCATCAGCTGGGAGTGTGTTGATCTCCCTCTAATCCAAGGAAACAGCAGAGCGGGCACACTCGGTAGCACCGTACAAGCGATCCGTTGCCTGTATAGCCAATGGATCGCTTGTATATGAAACAGTCATCGCCGGCTGTTTTTAAGCAGTCGTGATCTTGGTAAAACTGCTTCAGGATGGCACCGTTTATCTAGAATAGGCGGTCCTGGAGCAGTCAAACATCAGTTTAAGGTTACTTGTTTTCTCCTGTTAGTTATGCTTTCTTTAGTGAAGATCTTTGGGGGTGCCCTTGTATTGGGATGCTCCATGGTAATAGACTTGGGGTGTCAATGTCTGTGGCTTTACTTATAGGGCTTTAGTAGATCATGGTTATTCTTTTCCCAAATGCTGGATATGTTCAGTGTGAGCTGTAACATGGACATTTTAGTTATGCTTTCTGGAGTGGTGAACTTTGTGCTGTACAGTAAACTATTTGGGGTGTCATTGCTTGTGGCATCACATATAGGGCACTAGGAGCTTATGGTCTTTTTTTTCTAAATGCTTCTGAGATAATTGGTTTGACCTGTAACATGGATATCTCAGATCCCCTATTAGTTTTGGAGTGCGGCATTACGGGATGTCTATGCATAGCTAGCGCTACCATAAGGCTGCATAGGCAGGGGTGGAAAAATGCACCTTTGCCTGTGTATGCAAAATTCCTTTCACTGGCCCTGATTAACACTGTATCCTGCAGTAGAATATGAAAGAACTATGTAAATAAATAAAGTTGAAAGCTCAGTTGCATAACTCAGCAACATATACAACTATTGTGCCAAATAAATTTAAAGCACCTTTAGTGGTAAAGTGATCAATTCTTTAGCCTAGACTATTAGCTCTGAAACTCCAGCTCTGATGGATAACAGTAAAGAATATACCTATTTAATCAAATTCGTAGAAAAAGCAGATCATATCTAGCATTTGGAAATAAACTAAATACACACTGTGATTAAGTTATATCTGGCTGCAGTTAATCTGCATATTTCCTTATTTGTTTAATCATAATACAACATTTACATAAACTGAAGAAAATCAGTGCACATGCAGAAAACTGTTTTATGCCTATTTTACTTAGGAACTGGTGTCCACACTTACAGTTTACAAAGACAGCAAAGCGTAGGAATGATAGGTAACGCTCTCCCTCTATGGGATTCCATCCAATATCTGGGTATCCTTTGGCTATTAACATTGGACAGCTCTGCAGTCCACAACCTGCCAAATATGTCACAACCTGTAAAAAAAAAAAAGACAAGTCCACAGTGTAATTATAACTATATACACTAGCAGGGAGAAATGAAAATAGGGCAAACCAGGAAAGCTTTCTAGTTATTTTCTTTCTAGTGTATATTCATCTGCTGCAATGCCTGAATCACGTCCTGCAGCTGACAGCTAAAAAATGGATGAATTCCTAACCTGGTAAAGGTTTCAGAAAAAAATACATTTAGATGTCCGGTCAACCCTTCAACCTCATACAAAGCAGATACTTCCAGTCCCAGAGGCACAGTGTTTCTAAGTATCTGCTTCATACTAATTCACTGCAATCTGCAGGGAGTGCTGAGAAGCTGTGGCTAGCTTCTTTCAACTGTTGTACTTAAATATCCCTAAAAATTCTATTTTTTCTAAGATGTAAAATAAAAGTTTTTTTTATTTTTTTTTTATTTTTATGACATATAGGAAAAATAGCTAGAAATAGCTTGCAATCATTTCTGAAGAAAGGTTATAGGAAGGCCCATCATACAAAACTGACTCTGTGACTTGAACTCACTAAAAAGCAAAGCAATTTTCATCTACTCAGATAGTATGCTTCAATGTCCACTTTCATATTTTGAATATGGACTATGTTATACATATCATAACATCACAAACTCTGGGTTAAAAAATGTTAATATATACTTACTGGCCAATTTATTGAGTATACCTTGCTAGTACCGGGTTAATTCTTCGTGGCATAGATTCAACAAGGTACTGGAAACATTCATTAGAGAGTTTGGTCAGTACTGACAATAGCAGCACCAGTTGCTGCAGATTTGTCGGTTGCACATCTATGGTGCAAATCTCCTGTTCCACCACATCCCAAAGGTGCTCTACTGAATTGAGATCTGGTGACTGTAGAGGCCCTCTGAGCACAGTGAACTCATTATGATTATGATTTTAGCTCTCTAACATGGCACATTATGCTGTTGGAATTATTATCAAGCAAAAGAGGGGTACACTGTAGTCCTAAGGGGATGGATATGGTCAGCAACAATACTCAGGTAGGCTGTGGCATTTAAACAATGCTCTATTGGTACTAAGGGGCCCAAAGTGTACCAAGAAAATAGCCCCTACACCATTAGACCGCCAGCCTGTTTCAAAAGGCGAGGTCAGCCATGGCAGTCTCCGTGTTTCTCTTAGTACAGGTTTACCTGTAAAAGGGAACTATGGGCAATCCTTTTTTGGTGTTGGTTCTCTTATGGTTCACATTTACTAATGTTCTCCTGTGACCCAAAACTAGAGTTTGAGCCAGTTGTGCCTCAGTCTGTCCTTCTAATGAGTGCTGGAGAAACAGAGAGAGGAGAGAATGGAATCCCTCGGGGACTAGTAACTGACAGTAACCGCTCTCTGCAGGGAGAGGATCGTGAACTGAGCAATCAGTTGTTCGTGATCACTTAGTACTCAATCTAAAGAGCCAACATGTGACAGCTGTAGTGTCACACGTTGGCTCTAACTAAGGGGATGAGTGCATTTCATTCTGCCCATAGGTCTCCATTAAAGATAGGTAACCTGTGGCTTTCTAGAGTCCCAAGAAGCTATGTATATTCTTAGTAAGACTAAAATGATCAGTAACTGGACATCCTCTAAGAGTTTTGCTAAAAAATCAAGGGTGTAAAATCTGCACAAAGTAACCCTCAAATCTCAAACTACTTTTAGGGGTTCCAGTTCATACTTATGCCAATTGTTTTATAAATTAATTTATTGAAATGTGTCAGTGAACTGTATATCAGCATTTACATGACATTCCCCACTCAATATGGCCGCCGCTTGAGTGGGGCAACTCAGAATAATAACGTGCTGGATTAGTGTGATCTTAGTTCATTTTATTACTTCATTGCTGTGCTGTATGTGTATAGGCCAATGACTTGGCTGGCGCTCGTGCAGAAAGTTTCTTGGGCAAACTCACAGGCCCAAGTGGCTCCGTCGGCTAATGAACGGAAGGGGGAGGAGTCCGGTGACATCACAGACATCAACGTCACCTGACTCCTCCCCCTTACCTTTGTTAGCCGTCACGGACATCGACGTCACCGGACTCCTTCCCCCTTCGTTAGCCGACGGAGCCACTTGGGGAAGGGGGGAGGAGTCCGGTGACGTCGATGTCCGTGACGTCACCGGATCTCCGACGGGACTCCCAGAAGCCGGCGGATCTATATATATAATATCAAATGTGTTTGTAGTGTAATTGGTCAATTCTACAATTGATGAATTTGCAAAAAAAACATGAAAAGTGAATGTGACTAGTAGGCAGAGATATTACAGAGTGGCACCAGAAGTGATGTAATACACATAACTTCCGTAGCCAGTGGTCACAGGAGAGATCATCAGCTGGGAGTGTGTTGATCTCCCTCTAATCCAAGGAAACAGCAGAGCGGGCACACTCGGTAGCACCGTACAAGCGATCCGTTGCCTGTATAGCCAATGGATCGCTTGTATATGAAACAGTCATCGCCGGCTGTTTTTAAGCAGTCGTGATCTTGGTAAAACTGCTTCAGGATGGCACCGTTTATCTAGAATAGGCGGTCCTGGAGCAGTCAAACATCAGTTTAAGGTTACTTGTTTTCTCCTGTTAGTTATGCTTTCTTTAGTGAAGATCTTTGGGGGTGCCCTTGTATTGGGATGCTCCATGGTAATAGACTTGGGGTGTCAATGTCTGTGGCTTTACTTATAGGGCTTTAGTAGATCATGGTTATTCTTTTCCCAAATGCTGGATATGTTCAGTGTGAGCTGTAACATGGACATTTTAGTTATGCTTTCTGGAGTGGTGAACTTTGTGCTGTACAGTAAACTATTTGGGGTGTCATTGCTTGTGGCATCACATATAGGGCACTAGGAGCTTATGGTCTTTTTTTTCTAAATGCTTCTGAGATAATTGGTTTGACCTGTAACATGGATATCTCAGATCCCCTATTAGTTTTGGAGTGCGGCATTACGGGATGTCTATGCATAGCTAGCGCTACCATAAGGCTGCATAGGCAGGGGTGGAAAAATGCACCTTTGCCTGTGTATGCAAAATTCCTTTCACTGGCCCTGATTAACACTGTATCCTGCAGTAGAATATGAAAGAACTATGTAAATAAATAAAGTTGAAAGCTCAGTTGCATAACTCAGCAACATATACAACTATTGTGCCAAATAAATTTAAAGCACCTTTAGTGGTAAAGTGATCAATTCTTTAGCCTAGACTATTAGCTCTGAAACTCCAGCTCTGATGGATAACAGTAAAGAATATACCTATTTAATCAAATTCGTAGAAAAAGCAGATCATATCTAGCATTTGGAAATAAACTAAATACACACTGTGATTAAGTTATATCTGGCTGCAGTTAATCTGCATATTTCCTTATTTGTTTAATCATAATACAACATTTACATAAACTGAAGAAAATCAGTGCACATGCAGAAAACTGTTTTATGCCTATTTTACTTAGGAACTGGTGTCCACACTTACAGTTTACAAAGACAGCAAAGCGTAGGAATGATAGGTAACGCTCTCCCTCTATGGGATTCCATCCAATATCTGGGTATCCTTTGGCTATTAACATTGGACAGCTCTGCAGTCCACAACCTGCCAAATATGTCACAACCTGTAAAAAAAAAAAAGACAAGTCCACAGTGTAATTATAACTATATACACTAGCAGGGAGAAATGAAAATAGGGCAAACCAGGAAAGCTTTCTAGTTATTTTCTTTCTAGTGTATATTCATCTGCTGCAATGCCTGAATCACGTCCTGCAGCTGACAGCTAAAAAATGGATGAATTCCTAACCTGGTAAAGGTTTCAGAAAAAAATACATTTAGATGTCCGGTCAACCCTTCAACCTCATACAAAGCAGATACTTCCAGTCCCAGAGGCACAGTGTTTCTAAGTATCTGCTTCATACTAATTCACTGCAATCTGCAGGGAGTGCTGAGAAGCTGTGGCTAGCTTCTTTCAACTGTTGTACTTAAATATCCCTAAAAATTCTATTTTTTCTAAGATGTAAAATAAAAGTTTTTTTTATTTTTTTTTTATTTTTATGACATATAGGAAAAATAGCTAGAAATAGCTTGCAATCATTTCTGAAGAAAGGTTATAGGAAGGCCCATCATACAAAACTGACTCTGTGACTTGAACTCACTAAAAAGCAAAGCAATTTTCATCTACTCAGATAGTATGCTTCAATGTCCACTTTCATATTTTGAATATGGACTATGTTATACATATCATAACATCACAAACTCTGGGTTAAAAAATGTTAATATATACTTACTGGCCAATTTATTGAGTATACCTTGCTAGTACCGGGTTAATTCTTCGTGGCATAGATTCAACAAGGTACTGGAAACATTCATTAGAGAGTTTGGTCAGTACTGACAATAGCAGCACCAGTTGCTGCAGATTTGTCGGTTGCACATCTATGGTGCAAATCTCCTGTTCCACCACATCCCAAAGGTGCTCTACTGAATTGAGATCTGGTGACTGTAGAGGCCCTCTGAGCACAGTGAACTCATTATGATTATGATTTTAGCTCTCTAACATGGCACATTATGCTGTTGGAATTATTATCAAGCAAAAGAGGGGTACACTGTAGTCCTAAGGGGATGGATATGGTCAGCAACAATACTCAGGTAGGCTGTGGCATTTAAACAATGCTCTATTGGTACTAAGGGGCCCAAAGTGTACCAAGAAAATAGCCCCTACACCATTAGACCGCCAGCCTGTTTCAAAAGGCGAGGTCAGCCATGGCAGTCTCCGTGTTTCTCTTAGTACAGGTTTACCTGTAAAAGGGAACTATGGGCAATCCTTTTTTGGTGTTGGTTCTCTTATGGTTCACATTTACTAATGTTCTCCTGTGACCCAAAACTAGAGTTTGAGCCAGTTGTGCCTCAGTCTGTCCTTCTAATGAGTGCTGGAGAAACAGAGAGAGGAGAGAATGGAATCCCTCGGGGACTAGTAACTGACAGTAACCGCTCTCTGCAGGGAGAGGATCGTGAACTGAGCAATCAGTTGTTCGTGATCACTTAGTACTCAATCTAAAGAGCCAACATGTGACAGCTGTAGTGTCACACGTTGGCTCTAACTAAGGGGATGAGTGCATTTCATTCTGCCCATAGGTCTCCATTAAAGATAGGTAACCTGTGGCTTTCTAGAGTCCCAAGAAGCTATGTATATTCTTAGTAAGACTAAAATGATCAGTAACTGGACATCCTCTAAGAGTTTTGCTAAAAAATCAAGGGTGTAAAATCTGCACAAAGTAACCCTCAAATCTCAAACTACTTTTAGGGGTTCCAGTTCATACTTATGCCAATTGTTTTATAAATTAATTTATTGAAATGTGTCAGTGAACTGTATATCAGCATTTACATGACATGGTAAACAGCAATAAAGTGGTGCACCAGAACATTGTTTTTATATAGATACACACTGAGTGATCAACAATTTGACACACATAGAAGATTCAGTCTGGACAATCATCCCAATCAAGGCACTCTGATGAAGTCTTTGGAACAAAATACAGTGGATGCTGTAGTGCTACTAGAATAAACTGGATTTTTGTACTCACTGTAAAATCCTTTTTTTTTTAAAGTTCATTGAGGAACCATTCAGAGACAACTGAGTTATACTCACACCTACAGGAGGATTGGCTGGCAAAAATAAAAAAAAGTGATTAGCCTGGTTTAACCCTTCCCACTCCCAACATACCTCCGTTTTGTAACAAGCAGTGCTGAGAGCATGATCTGTGCCCCTCAACAAACTTTCAAGAAAATGATTTAATGCTGAGAACAAAAATCTAATATTCTTTTGCATTTCTGTTGAGGGAAACATGATTCAGACAATTGGGGTGTTCAACTTAGGGATAGGCAACACAGCAAACAAAATGCCAGCAGGCCCAACAATGATAAAAGAAAAACAAACTGGGGACTACATGCAGATTATAGAGCTGCCTAAAGGACCTTATGCCCAAAGCCAGCATCAAGAGAGACCTAAAAATCCACCTGGTACAACTTAGAGAATGTGTTAACAGAACACCAGGCAGCAGCCTTGTAAATCAGGGAAACTGATTCCTGCCAAAAGCCCTTGATGCACACAGAGATCTAGTAGAGTGTGACTTGACAGGCGAAGCTGAAACCATCAGGGATGAAAAAAAGGGATTTAGTCATTTTAATGGAAGCAGTGGCTGTGAGGTAGGCACGCACAGCACAAAGTACATCCAAATAGTGAAAACAAATCTCCTTCTGATATACTGAGGCTAGCCAGAGAGACGGAAGCACAATGCTCTGTGAGGTGAAAGGCTGAAACCACTTTAGGCCTAAATGCCACATTGTCTATGTTTAAGACTAGGGCCGGACTGGCCATAGGGCAAACCGGGCACTTGCCCGGTGGGCTGGGCCGGGCCGAACACAATCAACCTGATTGTGTTCGGGCCGGCTCTGAGCAGGGCAGTGTCTACTGTGTGGTAGCGAGCAGAGCCGGCACTACCACACAGTAGACACGAGAGGGCGCTGGTGTGGGAGGCCAGAAAAACACCTCCTCCCCCAGCTCTCTCTACTATTTGCTCTTTCCGGAGCTTGCTGGTGCTGTTCCTGCAGCCTGCACTGTCCCGATACCGGCCAAGATATTAACATATGAATGGGCCGCGGTAATTTGCATATCAATAAGCCGCGACCCATTCATATATAAATATCGCGGCTCATTCATATGCAAATCGCCCCCTCCCCCCCCCTGCTAAGGAAGAGAAGACTGCAAGAACAAGGTGTGTGTATGGTCAGGGATTTACTCTCCCTGCCGCCCCAAGGCCAGATTCCACAATGCGTCCCCCTCCCCGCCAACTCCCCCCCCCATCAATGGAGAATGGCAGGGTTACTTTTAAGTTTTTTATTGTTTTTTTCCCCTTTTATTAGCACTTTTTAAATTTTTTTACTTTTTTTTATTTGTATTTATCTTGTCATTTACTTTTTTATTTTTTATAATTTTTGATCTTATTATTGTTTATTTTTTTATCATTATTTTCTCATTTATTTTTCTGAATTGAGAAAGCTGGTTGGATGGCCAGTGAAACGTCTTCAAGAAAAATACAGCAAGTCCAGTTGCCTTGACTTATTTTTTACAGATATTCTCTATAGCAAGCTTCCTATATTGTAGCAAGGCTTGTGTGTCAGCTGTTGCCCTCCGGTACTTACTAGTGGCCGGCCCTGCCCCTCGATTGCGCTTCTGTGTTTGGCTCCGCCCCCTGTTGTGAGGGGTGGGGCCTGTTGGTGGTCACGTGATTGGGCTGCTCAGTCTAAAATGCCCGGGCCTATTTTTAGTCCCAGTCCGGCCCTGTTTAAGACCAGAAAAAGCTATCTACAGTGCAAAGCTACTAGTCCAGACAAACGTGTAGAAGAGGTGATTGTGACAAGGAACACAACTTTGTAAATAAACATGAAAAGAAGAATATACATGATGGGTTCAAAGGATGGTTTCTGAAGAGCCAAGAGAACCAAATTTTAATCCCATGGAGCCAAAGGTGGGTGCACAGGCGGAGCTATATGAGAGCCTTAATCAAAGAATAGGAGGCTAGCAGTCTTTGGAATGAGGGCCAACTGTTAATTCAAACCTGGTTGTAAAAAAGTCAGGATATTTTCTGGGATGCAAAGTTTTTTCCTTTCACCAAAAAAAGTATGACTTTCTTATGCGATAGTGGATCTTGCAGGAAGTGGGCTTCCTGACTTTTAACATCTTGGGCATCACTTAGTGACAGGTGCACCAATCCTTTAAGACCTGGAAACAGCCATGCGGTTAAAGCCAACGACCGCGAAGTAGAATGGTAAACTTGTCCTTGAAAAAGAAGATCTGGTTGATCTGGAAGTGCCTACAAAGTGTATCCAAGGAGTCTGATCTGGACAGAGTACAACATATGCCTGGGCCAGTCCAGAACTAGAAGTATAACTGGAATGCCCTCCATCTCGATCCTGTGGAGCAGATGAGGAAGTAGTTTTAGGGAAGGACATGTGTAGATCAGGTTTCCACTGAGCCACCAAAGTATCCACTGCTTCTGCCAGAGGATCTCTGCACTTGCAGACAAACTTCCTTAGTTTGTTGTTGAACCTGGTTGCCAAAAGTTCCACATTCGGTGTACATTTTTCACCTAATATGTTGGACACGAATGAACTGCTACAGGATTTCTACTTTGAATTCAATTGCTGCACTAAGTGAGCTGTGCTCCACTAGGAGTTTTATATGGACTTTCTTTTCACTTAATGTTTTTGCACTTTATATTTGGGGAATTCACTGATATATTTTACACTAAAGCTTTTATTGTTCATTTTTTTTAGCACTGTATTATATTCATTTTTTCATATCTGTATCCTTAGGGATATATAGTAAATAGCGAGATTGTTATGTGTGCTTTTATGTTTTGAATAAATAAAGAACATTTTAACTGCATCCAGAATCATGTGCAAACACTCTTTTCTATGATATCCTTAGTGATATCTATACAGCAGCTAGGTTACTTATTTATGTGCAGATTTATATTTATTAGCACAAAGACATTCCATACAGAATTTTTGGGATTAAATGAACACATTTAGGGCCTTAAAGGAGAACAATTAGGTGAGTGGT